CTCAGAGCGACGTTCCCGTTCGACTGCGGGTCTCGCTCCACAGGCGCGACGCCAAAAAGAACGGTGTCGTTGGCGCCGACATTCGCGCGTAAGCTGCTGGCGTAGGGTCGCGCCCTCGTCTCCACTGTGACTTTCAGAAGGAAATTAAACACACAGACGCAATTAATCCTCGATTCCCCAGATGATATGGGCAAATTTGGGAAGTGGGGGGGAAGACAGAAATCCAGAAAATATAGGAAACTATTGGGAACATGTTTATTTGTGTGTATTTATTTGTGTGTCCTGGGGCCCCATCAGGCTTGTCGCGCTGGTGGCCCGCGTAAGCCTTCGCGTAAGGTCGCGATGCCATCTCGCGTAAGCACTGTTTTTGGTCGTCGTTCGCATGCTTGTTGTTGGAGGTCGGGCCACGGTGAAGGCGGCCCCCGTTCGAGACGTCCTCGTGATCTGCTCCACGGTGCCCTGGCCAGAGGCCCCCCCCCCAATTCGGGGATGGCGCTCTCGCTGGCTGGAGACTTCCTCGCAAATTACCCATCGGTCGTTGAAAGTAGGTATTTTGGATTCCCAGATTCCAGTCTACTTTAAGCGCCTTCCTACTTCAATGCTCGAGTGGCTACCCCTCTCCTCTTCAGGGGGCGTGCGGAGACCCAATCTGCTTTCAACGCCTTCCTACTTCATGTTTCTACCTACTTCTTCTGACCGATGGGGATTCAGTTCTGTCAAGGCCCAGCTGCGGCGACAAGGGCCTCCGAGCTATTTTGTTTTCTCGCATTATTGTGCGACGCCCTGGCCGAAGCGGCCCTCGAATTCATGCAGGGCGCTCTGGCTTGAGATTTCCTCGCAATCGACTCGGGCCCGATTGCGAAGACAACGGTTTCCGTTCGATGCGCCCTCGCAATGTATGCCAAGACGCCCTGGCCAGAGAAGTCCCCCAACTCAGGAACTGCGCTCTGGCTCGAGCATTCCTTGCACGTTCACGCAAGTTGGCGAATGCCCGACTGCGACGACAAGGGTTCCCGATCGATACTTCATCGCAGTGTACTCGCGTGCGCACTGGTCATACGTATAATCGCAACTCAGGATTGGCGCTATCGCTCGATACGTGATCGCATTTCAATTGATATTTGTGGGGGCGACTACGACGACAACGGCTCACGCTCGATACTTCTTCACGGCTACCTCTGGAACGCCTTGGAGGCCGCCAAGTTCGGGAACGGCGCTCTCGACCAAGGTTTCCTTGCAGTTTGCTCGAGTTGGTGAGTGGCCCGTGGGCGCCTTCGCTCGTGTGACGGCCACTGCGTTGCGGTGCGCGCACGGAGTGCATTGTTGAATGCTTCTCCCTTTTGGCAGTATGAAAAGAAGCCCCCCAAGGGGAGGGATAGTTCATAGACGTGGCCGGCGGTGCACTGGAGAGGGATACGAACATACAGTTCACAGCAATTAGTTGGATCACTTGTTCGCAGGATGACCGCTCTCGTTGTCGTCAAGGAATTACTCTCTTCGTCGTCGTCGTCGTCGTCGTCGTCGCTCGTCGGTGATGCTGGCCCCAGTCCAGCGTCTGTCGGCGGCGAGCGAGGGGGGGAACTGGGAACGAGGAGGCCCTTTTCAGAAGGCGGCGGGACTCCTCAGACGCCCTCGCGCCTCCTCAGAAGTGTTCTCGGTGTCCTCGGGGGGAGGCTCCGCACGCTCCTCGGAAGGCCGGGGGCCTCCCGAGCCCTCTAGGACGGCCCGCCCCTGCTCGCTTTCTTCCCCTCCCCTGGGGATCGCCGCCGAGCATGACACCCTGCCGAGCACGGTCGCCTGCCCCTCTCGAGGAGGGCGGCTTGGCATCGCTCGGACGTGTGCAGGTTTCCTCCGGCGAGGACCTTCGAGGAGCATCCTCGATCATGTGGCGAAAGAGCCACGCACGACACCGAAAGAAGCACAGGGAATGGACGTCCGAGCGATGGCAAGGCGGAGTTGCGGAAGGGATCTCTGGGGTGCTGCCAGGAGGTGGCGACGGTCCGAGGTGGCCCCGGCTGCCGCAGGGAGGCCCCCGGGGCGCTTCCCAGAGCGCCGCCCTCGCGAGCCCCGCAGACGGGGCCAGGAGGGCTCCCGCCGTGGCGCGAGAAGCAGGGGGCACCTCTTGCGATCCTCCTCGTCCCCGCTCGTTCCTCTGCGCATCCTCTCCCCCTCGTCGCCCTCGTCTTCGCCTGTTTTCCTCGCCCTCATTGTCCTCGGCCTGCTCCCTCATCCTCCTCTGCCTTCTGATCATCCCTCCACCTTAAACCTCCTCATCCTCCTTGCTTCTGACGTCTGCTTGTTTCACAATTGGCCTTCGGAGGCCGTCTTCGGTCCCCAGGTCCATCAAGCATCGGCCTGCGACGAACAAATGCTCAGGGGATGGGTACACCAGAGGGCTTCAGGCGCAAAGGGGGCCTGGTGGTTTTTAAGCGTGATCTTTTTCAGCTCCAGACTGGATGATTCGGCGGGCTTTCGGCCCTCCGAGGGTTTCATGCGTCTCTCTCTCTCTCTCTCTCTCGCTCTCTCTTCTGTGTGTTTTCGTTCGTAGCGCATTCCTCTTCCTCCTCATCCTTCTCCGTCTTCCTCCTCATCCTGTTCCCGATCATCCTCCTCTTCCTCCTCCTCCTCCTCCTCCTCCTCGTCCTCCTCCGCCTCCTCCCCCTCTCCCCCTTTTCTGAAGGAATGCCAGAACTTTGGGAAAACCATTGGAAAAACCAAAAAAAACAAAGAAACCTAAGTGGTGGAGACGGAAAGTTTAGGAAACCCATTGGAAAAACCAAAAAAACCAAAAAAAACAAAGATTCCACAGAGAGTGCGGGGAACACCCGTCCGAAGGGACACGTCCAAAGGGAATCCCCGCACTCTCTGTGGAATCTTTGTTTTTTTGTTTTTTTTGGTTTTTCCAATGGGTTTCCTAAAGTTTTCGTTTCCAGCACTTAGGTTTCTTTGTTTTTTTTGGTTTTTCCAATGGTTTTCCCAAAGTTGTTGCATTCCTTCAGAAGGGGGGGATGGGGGAGGAGGGGGAGGAGGAAGAGGATGGAGAGGAGTCGCAGGGAGGAGGTCGCGGGAGGGGTTCGTACCTGCGGCGCTGAACCCTCCCTCTGTGATGCATTCCCACGGAATCCTGTTGAGAGGCCTTCCATGAGAATCCCTTTGGGGTGCTTTCCAAAGGAATCCTGTTGTGAGGCTTTCCAATTGGATCCCTCTGTTGTGCTTTCCAATGGAATCCTGTTGGGAGGCTTTCCAATGGAATCCCTTTGTGATGATTTCCAAAGGGTTCCTGTTGTGAGGATTTCCAAAGGGTTCCTGTTGTGATGGTTTCCAAAGGGTTCCTGTTGTGAGGATTTGTGTTCCAGCGCCATCCTCCCAACGGTAGCAGTTTGGATTGCGGCTTTCCAATAGAATCCCTCTGTTGCGCTTTCCAAAGAAACCATGTTGGGAGGCTTTCCAATGGAACTCCTTTGTTGTGCTTTCCAAAGGATTCCGATTGTGAGGCGTTCCAGTAGAATCGCTGTGTTGCGATTTCTGTAGGATTCCGAATGTGAGGCTTTCCCATAGAATCCCTCTGTTGTGCTTTCCAAAGGAATCCTGTTGAGAGGCTGTCCAATGGAACTCCTTTGTGGTGCTTTTCAAAGGGTTCCTGATGTGAGGCTTTCAAATGGAATCCCTTTGTTGCGCTTTTCAAAAGATTCCAATTGTGAGGCTTTCCCATGGAATCCCTTTTGTGTAGTTTTCCAAAGGATTTCCTTTGTGACGCTTTCCAATTGAAACCCTTTGTAGCATTTTCCGAAGGGTTCTTGCTGTCAGGCTTTCCACTAGAATCCCTTTGGGGTGCTTTCCAAAGGGTTCCTGTTGTGAGGCCTTCCAACAGACTCCCTTCGGGGTGCTTCCCAAAGGAATCAGATTGTGAAGCTTTCCAATGTAATCCGATTGTGAGGCTTTCCCATAGAGTACCTCTGTGGGGCTTGCCAAAGGAATCCTGTTGAGAGGCTTTCCAATGGTACCATTGTGGGGCTTTCCAAACGAATCCTGCTGAAAGGCTTTCCAATAGAATCCTTCTGTGGCGCTTTCCAACAGATTCCGATTGTGAGGCGTTCCAATAGAATCCCTCTGTGGTGCTTTCCAAAGGAATCCTGTTGAGATGCTTTCAAATGGAATCCTTTTGTAGCGCTTCCCAAATGAAGACCTGTTGAGAGGCTTTCCAATGGAACTCCTTTGTGGTGCCTTTCAAAGGGTTCCTGTTGAGAGGCTTTCACATGGAATCCCTTTGTGGTGCTTTCCAAAGGGTTCCTGTTGTGAAGGTTTCAAATGCTCTCGGCTAGGTGGGAGAAGGATCGGCGCAGGTTTGACGCAGGACAATGGAAACATGTAGAGAGACAGGGAGAGAGAGAGAGAGAGAAACGGAAACACATCGAGAAAAATAATGAGAGAGAGAGAGAGAGAAGGAGTCGTAGAGAGAGACTCGCATAGGTTTTCTTATTAAAAACAACACGCACAAAAACCACCAGGCCCCCTTTGCGCCCGCAGACTTGGCCCGCTACCGGCGGCGAAAACTCCCGATTGTCGCAGATAATTTCCAGATGTCTTCCGGAGGTAACTGTCCGAAAGCACCCGAACGTTGCCGGAACTTTCAGGAAGCCAATCGAAGCGCTCCGGAGGCCATCCGAAAGCATCGGAGAGGCTCGGCGGGTCTCCCAGAGTGCCCAAGACCCGCAGAGCCTATCCGAACACCTCGAGCAACCAAAGAGCGTCGCAACACGAACGGGGTCGTTGGCGCTGACACGGGCGCGCAAGCTGCCCTCGTAAAGGTCGCGCGTGAGCGCCCCGGTCTCCGATGCAGCGTGCCGCGCTGGCGACCCGCGTAGGCCACTATGGCTGTCATGCCATCGTGCGTAAGGCCCGTTTCTGTTCGCCTGCTCAAGCTCCGAACCATTGGAAGCGACGACGGCGGCGGCGATGGCGGCGGCGGCGGCGGCGGCCATCGGCGACCGTCCGCGCTCAGCCCTGGGCCGGTGTTGCTTCGCGCGCCCTGCGGGCGCCGCGTGCTGCGCTGCTGGCTGCCGCTCGGCGACGAGAAGGCGCGGGGCGTCCTGGCGGCCGCGTGGAGATCAGAGGAGGGAAAGGTACCCACACCGCGACCCTTGCGCCCGCTTTTCGCGACATCGGCCTCCTGAGAGGCCCTCGTCGCCACCGCCGGCTTCGCCTCGACGTTCTGGTCACGACGCACCCCGGGAGACGCCCGGGGGGTACACGCCGGTCGTTGAAAGTAGGTATTTTTGGATTCCCAGATCCCGATCTACTTCAAGCGCCTTCCTACTTCAAGAATCGACATGCTTTTGCTGTGTTTTGTTATTCTCTGGGAGGGCCTGGACCAAATCCACTATATCTTCCTTCCTACTTCATGTTTTGACCTACTTCTTCCGACCGACGTGTAGCGGTATCGGATATCGGTACTTTTTTGGTCTCCCCAGAATTGGGAGCGGGGGAGGGCGGGGAGTGATTGAACGAGGATGTTTGTGATGATGATGATGGTGATGACGATGGTGATGGTGGTGGTGTTGGTGATGCCGATGGTGGTGACGGTGGTGCGATGATGATACTGGTGATGTTGATGCTGATAATGAATATAATAATGATGATGATGATGATGATGATGATGGTGATGGTGATGGTGATGGTGATGACGATGGTGATGATGCTGATGATGACGATGACGATGACGATGACAATGCTGCTGCTGATGAAGATGCTGATGATGATAATGATGATGATATTGCTGTTGGTGATGACGACCACGACGACGACGACGACGACAACGATGATGATGATGATGATGATGATGATGATGATGATGATGGTGATGATGATGATGATGATGATTATGATGATGATGATAGATGCTGATGATGATGATGATGATGATGATGATGATGATGATCATGACGATGATACTGTTTATCCTGATGCTGATGCTGTTGATGGTGATGTTGCTGATGCTGATGCCGATGCTGCTGCTGATGATTACAGTGCTTGCGATGCTGCTGGTGATGATGCTGATGATGCTGATGAGGTTTCTGATGCTACTGACGACGATGATGACGATGATGGTGATGATGCTGATGCTGCTGATGATGGGGATAGAGGTGATGGTGTTGACTGATGCTGCTGATGATAGCTGTGACTGTTGTAGTGATGATTGTGGTGACGCTGATGGTGATGGTGATGGTGATGGTGATGGGCATGATGATGGGTGTCAAGGGGATGCTGACGATGATGATGCTGACGATCATAATGCTGATGATGATGATGATGATGATGCTGATGTTTGGTGATGGTGAGGAGGATGATGATGATTGTGATACTGATGCTGATTCTGGTGATGCTAATGTTGATGGTGCTGATGATCAGGAGGATGAGGATGATGATGACGATGATGATGATATTGATGATGCTTACGATGCTGATGATGATGAGCATCATGATGATGCTGGTGATGATGATATTGATGCTGATGATGATGACGATGACGATGGCGATGACGACGATGATAATGATACCGATGATGATGATGACGACGATGACGATGACGATGATGATCATGATGACGATGATGGTGATGATGATGATGATGATGATGATGATGATGATGACGCCGATGAAGATGATGCTGATGAGAATGAGGATGATGAGGATGATGATGATGACGACGATGACGACGACGGCCACGACGACGACGATGATGATGCTGATGATGATGACGATGCTGATGATGACGATGATGAGGAGGAGGAGGAGGAAGAGGAGGAGGAGGATACGACACCATGGAGCGGCCGCGCGGGTGCACAAGGCCAACACAACGGACAGCGGAGAACCGGATCGGGCCTCCCCGCTCGCAGCACAGTCCCACCACATGCCCCGTGGGATATCTCGGCCGACGGGAGCGGCAAGGCGGCGGCCGCGGGGGGGTGGGGCGGGGGGGTCCTCGAGCTTCACAACGCGGGGGCGGGTGGCGCGACACGCGCGGGCGCGCGCGCGCGCGCGCCCCGTTCCGCGCTCCCGTCGCTCGAACGCCGACTGGCCAAGCATTGAGAAGGATATCGAGATTCGTTCGAATGCCAGTTTGAAACATATCCCTATCCCTATGTTTGACATCGCCTCACCTCGATGCCGATCTTAAGGATTCCCTCAGTTTCTGAGGGCCTATCTCTAAGATTGTCCTCGCTTCTTGTTCGCCCATCTTAGGGATAGGGATACGTTCGAGGCTGTTATTCGAGGCTCGACGTGCACAACACGACCGAGGCACGGCGCGCGTTTGTGCGGAAGCATCCGAACGGTTCTACCAGCCATTTGCAGCACCAGCACCATTGCCGCAAGAGCGACGACCTGCCGCGAGGATGAGGGGGAACAGGAAGGGAGAAGGAGGAGGAGGAGGAGGAGGAGGAGGAGGAGGAAGAATATGACGGCCGTCACATCTGACACCTTTCGTCTGTGTTAGCTGAGGCTCTCATGGAACTCGTTGGGGCTGTGTAGGGACTGTCCTGGCCTCCTGTGAGGCAGTCGTGGGGGTCTCTTGTGGCCCTCCTGGGCCGTACTGGGGTCCTCTTATGCCGTTGTGGGGCTCTCTGGGGCTGTCTCGGGGCCCATGCGGCCGTAATATAGATGTCTGGGGGTCTGTGGGCCGTCGTGGGGCCGTTTTGGCGCCATCTTGTGCAGTCGATGGTCCTTCTGAGAGGCCGTCTTGGGACCCACTGGAGGCCCTCTTGGGCCCTTTTGAACGCTTCTTGGGCCCTTGGGGGGTCCTCTTGGGCCATCTTTGCACCCTCGTGGGGGCCTCTCGGACTGCCTTGGGGCTGTTGTGGGGTCGTTTTGGGCATCCTTGGGCTAACATAGCCCGAAAAGGCGAGAATGCGGGACTCATTCAAACATCTGGAAGCATATTGGACCGTCTTGAGGCCATATTCGGCTGCCTTGTGGACATCTTGGTCTGTCTTCGAGGCAGATTGGGTCTTTCTGGTGTCTTTGGCTGCCTTTGTGGACCGTCTTGGAAGCCCTGGACGTGGACGCATAGTTTTCCACGAGGGTTCACCGCCTGGGGGCGCGGATCTGCTGTTTTTTTGCAAAGGGATCGTGGTTTAAGGGGGGGGGATGTACGCGACATTCTGGTACAAGGGGGAGCCCCCTATTTCGAATGTACAAACCGTACAGGGCGGCGCAGGCTCGGTGGTGGATGCAGAGCGAGAGAGAGAGAGAGAGAGAGAGAGAGAGCGAGAGAGAGAGAGACAGAACAAACACATGAGAGAGAGAGAGAGAGAAAAAAAAAAAACTACAAAGAGACAGAGAGATGGAGACACACACGACACGAGAGAAAGAGAGACACGGCACGAGATAGAACACAACAACAACAACGAGAGAGAGAGAGAGAGAGAAAGAGAAAGAGATGGAGAGAGAGAGAGAGAAACGACACGAGAGAGAGAGAGAGAGACACGGCACGAGAGAGAAGGAGAGAGACCCGCCATGGCCTCGCCCGCCTAGCCTTGGCCTGGAGGATGCTCCGCGCAGGTAGGCTGCTTGGTAGGCTCCGTGCCCACTTGGACCCGTCCTGGGGCGGTGACTGGCCTCCCGGAGCACGTTGAAAACCAGATTGCTCCTCCTCCTCACATTCCTCCTCCTCCTCCTCCTCCTCCTCCTCCTCGTGGGCGGGGTGGGCCGTCAGGCGCCAATCGGCGATCCATGGGCGATCTCGCTCGGGGACCGAGGCGCGCCGCACCCTACGCCTGCCCCCCCCCCAAAACCCCACCCAGGGGGAGGTGGGCCATCCTGCGCGAGTTTGAGCCATGTTGGACACCGCATCGGACCTCCTTGGCCAAGGGAGGAAGAACCACCCAGACCAGAGAATCGGCGTTTGCTAAACGGCCCAGGGCGTTTACTAAACAGCCCTGCCCTGTTCGATTCCTTCTTTGGGCGCGTTTACTAAGGCCTCGCGTGTCGGGGTGGTTATCATCGGGGTGGATTTTCTGCCCTCTACTTGGGCCCTCCCGGAGCCCTCGGGGGGCCATCTCGGAGACTCCACCGCCTCGCGGCCGTGCCCCGTCCGGGCGCCAGGGGCAGGAGGCGGGGGCATGGGGGAGCCCCGACCCCGAGGCGAAGCAGGCTCTGCAGCACGTTTCGGGTGCGAGTTGGCAGCCGCCTTCCGCCTCTCCGTCTCGCGCTGCGGCGCAGCCCCGCGGCGGGGACGTGCAGGCCAGTGAGCGCGGGGAGGCCCAGACGCCCGAGACGAGGCAGGCTCGGCGGGGCTCGCCCTCGCACCGCAGCCCGGAGCCAACACGGACGCCCGGTGCGCGGCGTGCGCGGGGCTCGCCGCTCGTGTGCTGAGCGCGCCGCACGCGCACCACGTGCGCCAGGCGGCGCCTCGTGGGGCCCAGGCGCAAGTCGGGCTCGTTCCTCCACAGGAGGGCTACTCAAACATAGGTAAAAAATAGACTGGACTGGGGGCGATGTGCTAGTATTTTTGTGGCTATTTTTGAGCATGTTCTTGTTTTGTCTTTGACTTTCTCGTCCAAGATCCCCCTGTAGGGGGACGCGCCCGACCTGCGCCCAGGCGCGCCGGGCCTCCAGAGGCGCCGCGTGCTCCGCGTGCGCCGGGCGGCGGTGGCCCGCGGCGGCGGTGCAGGGTGCTCGGGGAGGCCCCCGCGGCCTCCAGGGCACCCCTCGCGGGGCCCATGAGGGGCAACGATCGGTGGGGGATACATGGTCCCGGGCTCCTGGCCCACGGCCCCCCCCCCCAGATGGTATGGTCCCAGGATTCCTCGCCCCCCCCCCCCCCAGATGGTATGGTCCCAGAGACGAGGACGACGACGACGACGACGACCACGACGACGACGACGGCTGCGGCGGCGACGACGCCGGCGGCGGCGGCGACGACGACGATAACGACGATGACGACGGCGACGACGACGATGAGGACGACGACGACGACGACCACGACGACGACGACGACGGC